CTCTCTCTCTCTCTCTCTCTCTCTGTTCCTGGCGAATTAAAAACATGAAAACTTCCTGGTGGAAAGACATGGTCATTGTTTAATTGGGATAGTAAATTTTAAGGAAATTGTGCATTTTCTGTAATGTGTACGGACATATATCGTGATGCATGACCAATAGGTCCAATACGATATATGAAGCTGTTGGCAAATTGTCAAAGTTGATAAATGTTGACTTTGTGTTATCAAACTTGTACAATACTAGTGTATTACACCGACGTGTCAAAAAAATTATACTTAAGTTGAAAATGTAATAGTAAAGTATATGTAGTAGTTTACGGTCAAATTTAACATGGAGTTTATCATCACCAAGTAGACTTGTGCCAATCAAATAAGCCTTCAGTCCATCTACAAGTAAAAAGTAAGCCTTTAATTGAGAATAACCTAAAATTGAAACCGTCAAATAATAAAGTTGAAAATTCAGGCCCTACTATGACACAATAACAAAAGGTCAAGCACTACATTACTATTTCCCCCTTATAATAAAATAATAAGATGGTGTTCACATATTATGGATGTGTTTGGTAGACCGTAAAACTAGCTTATAGTTTATTTAATTAGCTTATAAGCTTGTATAATTTTAAAAAGTTTTGTTTGGTAACACAAGCTTTTCTTAAAAGCTTAAGCTTATTTGAAAAGCTTGTATTACAAGCGTTTTGATAAATAAGCTCCTACTAGCTTTTATTTTGTTCTATTTTAATATTTTTTCTTTCCTTAATATTATAATTTATATAAAATTTTCATTTATTTTTGTATTCTCTCTCTACTCTCCCGCATAATATTATCGCGCGAACTTTCATCTCTCCCAAACTCTTTCATCTCCCAACCTCGCCGTCAAGCACAATATCCGTGCAAATTCTATCGCCCCAAACTCTACCAAAAGTAACCATCTTCAGAAGAAAGGTGATTAATTTAATCTTTAATGTTTTTTTTCTTTTTTACTTTTTTCATCATCAATGGAAATAATAAAAATAATAATATTCATATTAATAAATATTTTTATAACTATTATTCTAACTATACTTTTAAATTTTAAGTAATTATATTTTTAACTAGCTTATCAGCTATTTTAACCAAACATCTTAATAAACACCAACTAGCTTAACAGCTATAAGCTATAAGTTATCAGCTATCAACTAGCTTATAAGGGGGCGATTGGATATGAAGTGTACAGTAAAAAAACCAATCAAAACTCAAATTTAACTCAACTTTAACTCAACCCCACTATCTCCAATATTATTTATATAATTAAATAATATCAACTCATCATTCTTACACATCACATCAACTTTAATTCACTATTCATCCACTCACATAATTTTAACTAACCATCACTTCCAATCATTTTCTCCTGCTTTTATATCAAATCAACTTTAATTATTTTATTTTAATATATCCACTAACAACTAACCATATCATTTTTTTTTTCAAACATAACTATAGTTAAGAAAAAACTAGTTTTTTACTAGTTGAATTCATATACAATCACGCCCTAAGCTATCAGTTAGCTTATCAGCTAGGTTTACCAAACACACCCTATAACTATCTCTTGTTTAAAAAAAAAAAACAAAAAAAAAGGGCTTGTAAGCACAAATAATTTTTCAATAATTGGAAATAATCTTAGCCCAACTAGTAGAAAGAAAAAAATAAAGCCAATCAGAAACAAGCAACCCTAAAAGCTAAAATAAACTACCCAACTCATCTAGCTGCACAATCAACGACTGGAGGAATAGAGCCTCAGAGGAGGAGCAGTGGAAGAGACTCTCAAAGAGGACGAGAAGGCACATTACGTGCAGTGGAAGATCACAAATCACACGGAACTCTGGTCACAGCCGGAAAAGTTCAATGGAAAATTACGCAGATGGAAATCCGGATTTTTTTTCTTGGACAAGAATTATGACTCGGCGCTGTTACAACTCAAACCCGCCCAATGTTCAAATCAATACCCGTTCACACCGGTTCAAAGCATTTAATGGTTTGGACAGATTACTAAAATAAATGTTGACAAGCTATTCACCAAATGCAGTTTCATTAGTGATGCAATTTGTGTTCAATGGCAGACAGATGCAAATGCAATACATAATACTATCTTATTATTTACCAAAATTCGAAGCACAAATATCTCAATTTCAAGTACAATTACGAGCAATGGTTTTGCAACGAGACAAGGGAGAAGAGGAGGCAGAGATAAAACTTTTCGTGTCATCCGTAAACACTACACCGAACATCATTTATGGCAAATATACACTTCTACATAGACCATAATTGGAGATCAGATGGCCATGACCTCCTAGGAAATATACAATACCTGGAAAGAAAATAAGAGCAGAGTCAAAAGCATGAACATCCATAATATTCAGTTACAACAAATATCACCCACACAAACAATGAAGCTGATACTGAGACAAATGTTGGTGTGTATAGTGCCGCAAATATAAGCTGAATAATATGTCTACAATCATTTAAATTTTACAAGCAGACATAGTCTCCATGATTATCTAGAAAACTACATGATGTCAATTAGTATTAGTAAGTAAAAAATAGTAAACAATATATATATATATATATATATATGAAAGTAATCCAATAGAACCCAAAAAAGTTCAACATGAGGACGTGAACCAAACAACTGGTGTAGCAACCTAAGCAATTCCATTTGGTATTTACTTCAACTTTCATGACCGAGATGAAGTTTAAACAACAATGAAGGAGGCTACAAGAACACTCTAAGTGACTCTAGTCATAATAATATTTACCTAGATGGACAGAACTTCCTCGTAACTTAGGCCAATCAGCAGCCACAAGTTAAAAAAAAAAAATCGAAAATAACTCATCAATTTAAACAGATGTATAAATACAAACATTTCAAGCTAGCTCTGACTGAATTCACGCGGAGAAGGAATTTTATCATCCCAGGCTCACCATTACAGTAGCGACCAACCAAGCGACCTGATCACACGTTTGCACGTGCACATTATCTATAACTATTCACGGAGAATGGTTGATACAGAGATCAAGTTAAAATCAAGAAGAACTATTGGGTTTAACTGGCAATATCGGACACCACACAAGGCCAGATCAATCCAATTATAAAATTAGCAAAATTCCGTTCCACACCTCAATTTCCAGTGTTAGTATTTCACTAAGGTAGATGAATCTATCAGTATCTTTAACAAGGATAAAATGAAATCCAATAGTGTTAAAAGAAAAGAGATTGTAAAAGGAGAAACCAACAAAAAAAAAAGAACAAATAAGTTGAACCAATTGAGCTAGAAGGTGAGATTAACGTGCTTTGGAAAACTGGATAGTGAAG